GCAACAGCCCTTCGGCATCGCGCGTGCGCTATGAACGCGTGGATATTTGTCGTGTGCACCGCTTGTCAACGCAGCAGCCGCAATGGCATCATCATCACCACCACCACCTCCACCACCATAATTAACTTTGGTTTAATTCTTACTTGGAATTACTCTTTGGTTCTTTCGGTAAAGTCACGTAGAAAGAAAATAAATTTAATAATAGAATACGACGTTTCGATTGCAACACAAGCAACCGTCATCAGGTAGAACTAAATTTGAGAGAGAGACAAAACACTGACACGGAGACAAACAGACACACAGAGAGAGAGACAACACAGAGACACAGAGAGAGAACACAGAGACACACAGAGAGAGAGACAACACAGAGACACAGAGAGACACAGAGAGAGAACACAGAGACACACAGAGAGAGACAACACAGAGACACACAGAGAGAGACAACACAGAGACACAGAGAGAGAGACAACACAGAGACACAGAGAGAGAGAGACAACACAGACACACAGAGAGAGACAACACAGAGACACACAGAGAGAGACAACACAGAGACACAGAGAGAGACAACACAGAGACACACAGAGACACACAGAGAGAGACAACACAGAGAGAGACACACAGAGAGAGACACACAGAGACACAGAGAGAGAAACACAACATACTTGGAAGTCCAGCGAAAGCAAATCGACGTTGAGAAACGCTGAAATGTACGTGACCATGTGGGAAGTTGATACCACTGTCACTTGACGATGCTTAACATGAATATGGCCAACTCATATTCTGTGGGTCTTTCGGTAAAGTCACGTTAATGGGTTCAAAGAAAATCACAAAAAAACTCCTGACGTTTCGATCTCAACGCAAGCGGCCTTCATCAGGATCGCTTGCGTTGCGATCGAAACGTCGTAGTTTTTTGTTATTTTCTTTGAACCCATCTACGTGACTTTACCGAAAGACCCAGAGAATATGAATTCCTGCAGTCACGAAAGCTTTAGGTCACGATTTAATATGGCCAACGTTGATATGGTGTCTCGCGAATACACGCGTGTCGCAACCCATACAAACCACAATGCATCTCACAATTCGCGAAACGGTGGGGAGGGTGGGGTGGGGAGGAGGAATCCCTTCGGCCCATTGCTTTGGCGCGTCTTCAACGACCTCCATTTGTTCGGCGGCAATTGAATAAAGGGTGGTCTCATTTGTATGCAAATGAGGCGGTGTTAATTAAGCTCGCTTGGGCGTATCCCCCGAGGCGTCGTGGTGGGTCATCGCGTGACGCTTGCTGAGGGTCAGACGTGGGGGGGGGGGGGACGAGAGCCACGCTACCCCAGACACACAAGGGTAAATGGTCAGTAGTTGAAGAGAGATCATACACGTTGTGATTATTTTTATTTTTAGGAAGCGTTCCTGCTACATTTCTCTTTAGCCGTGGGTTAACTTTAGAAGTTAAACGATGGGCGGTAATATTTTAACAGCGGCAAAATGAAAAAGTATCGAAAAATTGTGAAATCTGGATGCAAAAATAATTGGCAATTCTTGATTTAAAAAAAGGTTAAAATCGAGAAATCTGGAGATAATATAGCAAAGAAAATCTACAGGAAATCGGAGACATTTGGTAAAACCTTGGGAAATCTGGAGAATATATCTTTAAAATTTTTTGGATACAGTCTGCGAAAACCCTGAGAAGTCTGGAGGGTCAAAAACAAAATCCCCGAGATATCCGAAAAAAAAATCGCTTCGAAAAATCTAGAGACATCTGTAGAAGGATCACACTCGTCCAAGACGTCCTTCCCAGTGGCTTCCACGTGTCCACGGCCTAGCAGGGTGGAGCCCCCAGTGAGTGAGAGACGATGTTCGCTGATGGCAGGAGAGTGGCATGGGGAGACGCAGAAACTTCGAGTTTTTCCACGGTAATTGATACCCCCAATAGGGAAAATTGTGGTAAAGGCATTAGGCTCAAGACAGTGCGCGCTGTTTAGAAGGAGTTCGGTATCCACACGGCAATTTCTTATGCCGGGGCAAAACCCAGCAAAAGTAGCTACATATGTAGTAGTAGCTACACATGTTGTAGCTACATGTTGTAGCTACTACGACACGTGTAGCTACACATCACTGAACCGGAATTGATAGCTTGAAAGCATTTAGCGCGGGGCCCTTGAAAGTGCAGGGCCCGTAGCTACTACATCGTCCCAGTAGCTTTCACGTGTCCACGTAGCTACTACAGATGTAGTAGCTACGGGCCCCGCACTTTCAAGGGCTGTAGTAGCTACTGAATCTGCAGTAGCTACATCTGTAGTGCGCATTGTTTAGGTGGCGTTTGGTAACGAGGGTCGTCGTCTCGTTATTGGCGAGCGACGATTGATTGATTGGCAGGCGGACGGGTACGCGTTGTGTCGGGAGTGTTTGGTCTTTTAGAAAAAATGTGGTCGTTCTTGTTGACGGTGCCGATGGGGGTATGAGCGAGTCGAAGTGTGCGCGGCGTTTAGGGAGCATTTGGTATAACAACGCTCTCGTCATTGTTACGTGGAGAGAGATTGGCACGTGGAGAGTGCGCGTTTTTTTAGAGAGAGTTCGGTAACAGCGTGGTACACGTGTGTGTGTGTACGTGTGTGTATACGTGTGTGTGTGTGTACACTGTGTGTATACGTGTGTGTGTACACGTGTGTGTGTGTGTACACCTGTGTGTGTGTGTGTACGCAGTACGTAACGGATACTTTAATGTTACAGTCGCTGAGCGTAGGCACAAAACGTCAAGCGAGCGGCCAGCAACTAACGGCAATGTCACAATGTAGTTCGGGTTAGATGTGTCTTGAATTGAGCCGAGGTCGTTGTTATAAGAACTTGGGGGGGGAGGGGAGTGGATTCCAGAGTAGATGTTTGTAAAAGGGCATTTGCGTGTTGCTTCGGGAGCGTTTGGGAGGGGGGTGGGTTACAGGTGTGCTTCGTGTATGGAGAGTATGATGCTCTGGGCAATAAACAATTTGTTTTAATTCGGGAGAGCGTGATAGGCGAGTGTGCGGCGTTTATGGAGCGCGGTTATCAATTTGCTCAAGTTTTTTGTCGCTTACTGATGACCCCTGTGGCCGTCAGTGTAAAAGAGCTTCATAGCTCCTCGGATTCCTCCTGCAGTCTACATGCAGATCGTGACTCTGCATCGGGAGGACTGGGGTGGTCATCCTCTCAATGCGCGGTGTTTCGGGAGTGCGTGGTGTTGGAGGTTTGTATAGCCGTCTTAAGTATCAGTGCGCGTTGTTTAGCGAGAGCCTGGTTACGAATTTTGTAATAGCGACTTGGGGGTGGTCAGCGCGAGTTAAGTGCGCGGTGTTTCGAGGTTGCGTGGTGTTTAACCTTAACGGTGTTGGAGGTTTGCATAGCCGTCTTAAGTAGTAGTGCGCGTTGTTTAGCGACAGCGTGGTTTAAGCAGTTTGTAGTTGCTAAGACTGTTGGGGGTGGGCGTGGCGGTCAGCGTGAGCGAGTGCGCGGCGTCTAGGAAGCGCGCGGTAAAGCAGCACGTGGTGTTCATCGATCGTGGTGTATCGCCTCTGCATTTGCGTATAGGTTCGTTATATGGCCTGTTATTAAAGTATTGTCGTGCGCGTTGTTTAGCGAGGTCGCAATAAGTGGTTTGTAAATAGCGAAAAGACTGTGGTGGGTGGGTAGGTGGGTCGGTGGTGGGTGGGTAGGTGGGTTGGTGGTAGGTGGGTAGGTGGGTTGGTGGTGGGTAGGTGGTGTGGGTGGGTTGGTGGTGGGTGGGTAGGTGGGGTGTGGGTTGGTGGTGGGTAGGTGGTGTGGGTGGGTAGGTGGGTTGGTGGTGGGTGGGTAGGTGGGTCGGTGGTGGGTGGGTAGGTGGGGTGTGGGTTGGTGGTGGGTAGGTGGTGTGGGTGGGTAGGTGGGTTGGTGGTGGGTGGGTAGGTGGGTCGGTGGTGGTGGGTAGGTGGGTTGGTGGGTAGGTGGGTTGGTGGGTAGGTGGGTTGGTGATGGGTGGGTAGGTGGGTTGGTGATGGGTGGGTTGGTGGTAGGTGGGTTGGTGGGTTGGTGGTGGTGGGTGGGTAGGTGGGTTGGTGGTGGTGGTGGGTAGGTGGTGTGGATGGGTAGGTGGTGGGTGGGTGGGTAGTTAGGTGGTGGGTTGGTGGTGGGTGGGTAGGTGGTGTGGGTGGGTTGGTCAGCGAGTGCGCGGCGTCTAGGAAGCGCGCGGTAGTCGGAGTGGCCGCCACGGCTCCTCCTGCACCCCCACGAGGAGTCTCTCGGCCCGTGAGCAGTGAGCGAGAGGGGGGGGGGGTGACACGGGCTGGCGTGAGGGAGCAGGGAAGGAGGCCTCTCAACCCGGCTCCACACACACACAACACGCCACGCTCACACCACGTAGGGCCTGCCGTGCACACACACACGGGGACAGGCACTGTGCACAAGAGAGGCGTGTTCTAATTACATACAGACAGACATACGGGAACACAGACACAGATTCCCCCCGACTTGATTGACTTTCTGGGGGCAGGTGCTGCTGGCTAGTGAGGCCGTACCCACGGTACAGTCGCATACAAACGCGATAGAGAGACCCACAGGCGTGTGCTACAGGCGGGGACACGCACAGGCACACGTACAGGCACACGTACACGGGGCGTGTACGCGCAAGTTTGAACATAGGTGTGCTGTGATTTCACACGGACACACGCGCACGTGATGTAATCACATACAGCCGTGCAACACGTACGGCTACTCTCCGCTTACGCCGGTACACACAGACATACTGTCTTTACACACACACGTGGTCACACACCACACACACACACGTGGTCACACACACCACACACACACACGTGGTCACACACCACACACGTGGACATAAGTGAACACACGTGTGCGCGCGTGTACAGTCGCGTACACGCACGCACACTAATACACACGTGTACACTAATACAAGACACCTATGTACTGTATATACACAGACATATACTGTATACACACGTGTACACAAACACACCTATCTCCACACACGTGTACACAACAGACGTGCTCAAACACACGTGCACACACACGTGTACACAACACACGGCGTGTACACAACACACGCTTGCTCACACACGCGCCGTGTACACAACACACACGTCGTACACACACACACGCGGGTGTATATATATGGCAAGGTGGGCCCTGTGTTTACAAGTCCTGACGAGGAAGACGCCGAACGTCTCGCTGGGATTATAATCAAGATCTGACGACATTGCTGAGAGATTTACGCACGGTGCCGATGGTGAACGAGGATAAGAAGATCAACGTTTCGGAGGGGGGATCCTGCGGCAGCTGCGAAGAAGCGTTTCACAGTGCGAGCTGTTGGTCATATCCACTGCTGGATGAGAGAGGCCTCTGATAATTATGTTTTGGGGTGGCTGTGTGTTGTAGAATCCGCCGCCACCCGACGCGGCGGGGTCTGTGAGGAGTTTATTTAAAGCCACGACGTTTGCTTACACTCTCAAGTACGACGTTTCGCGAGCGATCCCAACAAAAGCGAAGCCTCCCGTCGGGGCGATTTGCCCGAATTGCGTTTGACCATACTTCACCATCCTGGTATCGTGAAGAGGAAGAGGAAGAAGAGGTGATGAAGATGGTGATGAAGACGGCGATTCACGCGGACGTTTGAAGCAAGAAGCGCCAACTTATTTAGTTTTGATATCGGGTCACACGTGAAGAGCCGAGGATAATGTTAAAGTTTAAAGTCATTAAACACAAAAGGTGAGGGTGTTTTTGTTGTTGTTGTTTACACTCCACAACCATCGTCGCCATTGTTGTTGTTGCCGCCGATCGTTCTCATCGGCAGCGTACAATTGTAAATCGTCGACGATGTCGCTTATACATGATCGTATTATATAAATATGTTATGCATTGTAAATGTTACGCATTGGAGACGTGTTATTATAAATATCACGTTATTCACTGCCATCAACAGAATCGCGATCAATAATTATCACTCGCTCAGCTCTCACCTCAACACCGAGCAAATTCAACCATCAACAACAATCACAAACAACAATCACCATCACCACCATCACAAACATCACTACCAGCACGACACCTACCATCAACACTACCACCATCAAGACCATCACCACCACCATCAACAACAATCACCATCAACAACAAAGACCATCACCACCATCAACAACAAAGACCATCACCACCATCAACAACAATCACCATCACAAACATCACTACCAGCACGACTCGCACCATCAACACTACCACCATCAACACCATCACAAACATCACTACCATCAAGACACCTACCATCAACTACCACCATCAGCACCACCATTATCTCCAACACAACTACCATCAACATTACCGCCACCACCATCTCCAACACAACTACCATCAACATTACCACCATCAGCCACCACCACCATCTCCAACACAACTATCATCAACATTACCACCATCAGCAACCATCTCGAGCACGACTACCACCACCATCAACAGCATCAGCACCACCACCATCAGCACAACTACCATCAACACCACCATCAGCATCAGCACAACTACCATCAGCACAACTACCATCAACACCACCACCATCAGCACCAGCACAACTACCATCAGCACAACTACCATCAGCACAACTACCATCAACACCACCATCAGCACCAGCACAACTACCATCAGCACAACTACCATCAGCACAACTACCATCAGCACAACTACCATCAACACCACCATCAGCACCAGCACAACTACCATCAGCACAACTACCATCAGCACAACTACCATCAACACCACCACCATCAGCACCAGCACAACTACCATCAGCACAACTACCATCAACACCACCATCAGCACCAGCACAACTACCATCAGCATCAGCACAACTACCATCAGCACAACTACCATCAGCACCACCACCATCAGCACCACCACCACCATCAGCACCAGCACAACTACCATCAGCACAACTACCATCAACACCACCATCAGCACCAGCACAACTACCATCAGCACAACTGCCATCAGCACCATCGGCACCGCACAACTCTCAACAGCAACGTAACAATGTGTTACCACCCCAGCTCCACGTTACTGTGTGTGTCTTCTATATCACATTAGTTGTGTATGTGTATATATTGTCTCGTGTATGATTTTTCTGAAAGATTTTGGTTCGCTTGACGACTTAATAATAATAACAAAGTTGTTGTTTGTGCCTTAGTCCCGTCTGTCAGTAACGCGGCAGGGGTTCATGTAAAGTCCGCATCGCGTTAAGATGAAATTTTGAGTCGAATTAAATCAAGGTTAAGTGTTGAGTCAAATCAAATCAAGATTCAGTGTTGAGTTGAATCAAATCAAGATTAAGTGTTGAGTTGAATCAAATCAAGATTAAGTGTTGAGTTGAATCAAATCAAAATTAAGTGTTGAGTGGAATCAAATCAAGATTAAGTGTTGAGTGGAATCAAATCAAGGTTAATCGTTGAGTGGAATCAAATCAAGATTAAGTGTTGAGTGGAATCAAATCAAGGTTAAGTGTTGAGTGTTTTAAGTGTTGCTGTTTGTGTGTTTGTTGTTTACAACTTGGGAGGTCACATTCGGGGGGGGGGCAACTATTTACTGCTGTGCAGGGTGGTCCGGATGTCTTGTGACACCCCCCCCTCCATTTTATTATCTAAAACGTAATCTATATTTTTAAGTAAGCGGGGTGGTCCAGATGTCTCGTGAACCCCCCCCCCCCATATTGAATTCAGCAATTGTTTATTGCTGTGGTTGTCTCACCTGATACCGGACGCTTGTGTTGCGCCCGAAACGTCGTGATTTAATTTTATGTTTTTACCTGCGTGACTTTACCGTGAGAACCAAAGAGTATTTTGTAAGGTTTATTTAAAATATTTAGAATGAGTATGCAAAGAAGGGGGGGGGGGGTGCGGAGAATGTTAAGGCCAAATTAATTGTGGGGGTGGGGGGGGGTCACAGGAGGAGGAGGTAGTGATGGGTGGGACACGTGGTGAGCAGAGTGGGGTAAGATTATGGTGTAAGTAACGTGGAGGTTTGTGGAGGAGGAGGCAGTGATGGGTGGGACACGTGGTGTAGATGATGGTGTAAGCAACTTGGAGGTTGGTAGGAGGAGGAGGTAGTGATGGGTGGGACACGTAGTGAGCAGAGTGGGGTAGATGATGGTGTAAGCAACGTGGAGATTTGTGGAGGAGGATATAGGAGAAGCAACTTGGGAGGTTCAGGATCAGAATCTTTATTTTTCCTGGGGGAATCCGAATATCCATAAAGCTATTTTTCCACATATGTCCAGTCGAGGCTCTTCAAGTCAGTTACAAGTTTGGCTTGGCGATAGGAGTCTGGGAGGTTGTGATGGGTGGGATCGATGGTGGTGGTGATATCAGAGTTGGTCCGACCCCAATGTAGGTCATCACTCCAGCAATCTAATTAGCATAACGAGGATGAGAGCGATGTGTGTGCCGTCCATGCATGATAATGATGATAACGATGGTAAGTTAAAATAGATATAGTTCTTACGTTTGAATACCCAGGAAAGAATCACACTCTGATAGCTCATTTTAAAGCGGGTCCTACCAACTTATTTTAGCAGTAGTGAGCGGTGGTCAGTGATTGCTATAGTGAATATAATTTCTGTACAGTGCTTAGCTATCATCACCTGCGCACCACTGCTGGATAGCTCGCGCTTGAGTTGATTTCGTGGTTCAAACATTAATTGGCCCTCGTGTGTTGTTGGTTTTATCACTAATTTCATTTTGGGGGGCGGGGGGGGGGGGTGGAAGGTGGTGAGCGATGTGTGAACTGTGGTTATATAGTGTATGTTTGAAATCAGGCATTCCTGGGAAATGTTAAAATAAAATCTAAGCAGGATCACACAAATCTAAGCAGGATCACAAAAATCATAGCAGGGTCACACAAAATTATAGCAGGATCACAAAAATCATAGCAGGATAACAAAAACCAAAGCAGGATCACGAAAATCATAGCAGGGTCACAAAAACCAAAGCAGGATCACATAAATCATAGCAGGATCACAAAAAATCATAGCAGGATCACAAAAACCAAAGCAGGATCACAAAAATTCATAGCAGGATCACAAAAATCAGCAGGATCACAAAAATCATAGGGTCACAAAAATCATACCAGGATCACAAGAATCATAAAATCACAAAGTGAATTATTTATCTGGAGAGCAAAAACGGCATTGCTTGAACAATTACCAGAATTGGATTTGGGGGTCAGTACCTTTTTTGTAATTTAGTAATGTTTATAAATGTAGTAATTGTTTAGGTATTTTTTCGTAAACCTTTTTTGTAAATGTCAGTACAATTTCCTCTGTCAAAAGTTCGAGCGCAAAACACACGCACAAACTCACCGGAACAAAGTTTAAAAATAAAGTAAGGTTTGAACCAGAAATGTTGCAACGGCCAACACAACATGGGAGGGAGGGTGACCGGTCGGTCCAGTTTCCGCACGCAACTTTTTGTAAAAGAATGATGACAAAAATAATTATCATTATTAAAATTATACCACGAAGTTGATTTTTTTGCGACATCTCTCCCTCGACACGAATTGCGGCAAAAAATAACTTTCTCCCACATTTGCATACCACCACCACCACCAATTCAACGTCGGCCGCATATCCACCCTGGCCAATAATTATAGCCACCCAGTCGCACCACAAGCAAACTCGACGCACACACACACACGTACGTACTGCTGCTCCCTTTAAACGCGAAAACAATCAGTACACCCAGTAGCAACATCCAGCACTCAAGTGCTGTACTAACTCAACCAAAGTCAATTCAATTTCACATCCCAAGCAGTCCTTGACCGCTTCAACGAGATCGACTCAACCTTTATACGAGTACCTGGTGCAGTGTAGTAAAAAACACACACACACATTAGTGCTGGGAAGACAAAGGCGGCCGGGCATGGTGCTGGCCGCACACCCCGATCGTGTGCCGCGCCGGCCTTCACAGGTGCTGCTACCCGCTGACAGCACTTGCCCCGACAGTCTGTCACGTCTATATGGGGGATCTGTATACCTGTACACGTGTTTGCCCCAACAGCCTTTCCGCGTGTTTACCTGGGGGATCTTTGAATTCTTTATCCATGTGCGCTTGTGCGTGGTGTGGGTGGGAGACTTCATTCTGCAGACCTGGCCATTGTGAGCCGTACCTCTGCAGGCCTGCCGCATCGCCTGCAATTACCACCCTGGAGCATGCAGACACGACAATGATGCGCCAGTTATAGTGGCACGCCAATTGTGCGCGCGTGTGCGGTGTTCAGGCCCTTTGTGTGCGTCTCGCTTGTGTTTTTTTTTTGCCACTGGGTGCAATTGTGAACAACAGCCATATCGGGCATTTCGTAACATCTAAATCGGCATACCCATTGGGTTCACCGCAGCTCCGAAGGCTCGGTCCCCACGAGGCGTGATGCCCCGTGCACGCGCGCGCGTGCACGCGCGCGCGCGCGCGTGTGTGTGTACACGTGTGTGGAGAGCGGTGGTGCAGCGGTTAGCGCTGCGCTGCGCTACGAACCTGGCGACCCGAGTTCGATTCCCGCTCACGGCCAACACCGGTGACGATTGTCTGAACCGGTCCTGGGCCTCCCCTAGGTCGACTCGGCCTCAAATTAGTACCTGGTGCGATGTGTAAACGTCGCCACTGGGGAGACAAAGGCCGGCCGGGCGTTGTTTTGGCCACCCACCCCCCTCGTGTGCCGTGCCGGCCTTTATAGGT